TTTTGTCCAAAAGGAAAATTATTGGTGGGAAGACATGGGCAATCATTTTAGAAATGGCCAAGGAGTCTTGGCCTGGACTTTTTATGTGAAGTTGGCCTAGCACAGCCAGGCTCTCTTAAATGGCCAAAAGCACTTTTTTTTTCTTGGTTCAGACTTCTTTCTAATGCTTTAGCCAAATGATGGGAGAAAAAGTGAGAGGTTGGTACAATCTCACAGTATTGAAGAATTTAACAACATGTTCAATTCACGAACCTTTATGAACTTTTTAGATCACTATAATTCAGTTTTACAGACCTCTAATTTAAGGCATAGCAGAGGCAAAGAATTACAGACTGCCCAGGGGCTGGAAGGACCGGGCGCCTTCTCCCTAGCTTTACCAACAGTGAGATTCCGAGAAAGAATTTTCTTAAAAAGAGATTCTGTTTTCCAGTTGTGAGTTTAGGTGGTGTGCTTCTCAGGTTGTTTGTATTAGCTGTCTGGGGTTGAGCTGACATTTTTCAAATATTAAAGCAGCAGTGTGCCTTTTGAGGAAATCTGAAATGTAAGTTAACAGGAAGGGTACCAGAGAGCGCAGGAATTCCTGTATATTACAGGAAGGCAAGTCACAGGAAAAATGTGTCATCTACAATACCCAGGCAGGCGAGAAAACTATTGTTGTGAGCCAGAATGGTCTTCTGAGGGGGGTGGGGGTGAGGGAGGCAGGGAGGGGGAGAGAGAGGGAAGGGAGGGAGGTTTAACATCACTTGGTTTATCTGATATTATATGTGTTTGACCCTTTTAGAAGCCAATCTTTCTCACTTTTTCTTTTCACCTGGAAAAAACAATATGAGCCTATTTTAGTTGAATGCAGTCATAAGCAAGTCATGTAAGAAATGCTTACAAGGCATACTTCAGAAGGGAATAGGGAATATAGCAGGGACGTTCTCAACCCTCCTGAGCTAATCTCTGTTTCTGTAATTGACTCCATCCTGGGGAACCAGATGTGTACATTTCTCATTCTGCACACATGCTTTGTTGGGTTGTTGTGTCAGACAGACTTGTCATGCTTAGCTTGTAATCTGAGCCAGTGTGTTTTATAACTCTGTCGTTCTCGGGACACCCAGTCAGAATAGGCACCTCAAACCTCCTGCTGTCAGTTCTTTCTAACATGATGCATGTTAGTTAAATGGCGTGTATGTGTGTGTTTGTATGTGTGTGTGTGTGTGTGTGTGTTGCTGATGTAGCTCCTCTGAGATACAAGGGTTGGGATTCTCTCTCATCTTTTTGTTTTTCACAGATTAATATAATTTTTTAAACGATCCCCTCCCCATCTGTTAAAATCTAAAAAAAAAAAAATCTACAAGGAGTATTTTTGAAACTTTAAAATGTATGTAAATGGTATTTCTTTATTATAGTATATTCAATAAAAAAGAAAAACAAAAATGACCAATTGCTGCAGAATACATTGTGATATAAATTTGTTCAGACTTTTGGTTTGTACATATGTATGTGAAAAATGTAAAGTATGTGTACCACTAGTGCCCATTAGGCTACTTTTTATTTCCCTTGCCAATATACTGTGAAGTGTCTGAGTCAATGCATTTCTCCATGTGCAATATCCACTTCTTTTGCATTTGCTTAAATAGAATTTCAATGCCTACTTACTTTAGTACCATGCACATTGCTACATGTTCCCAGGCATATGATGCTACTAGATTAAATTCCAGGCCGTCAACTGCAGAATGAGAATGTCTACTTCTCCCTCATTCCCCAATATTTTCCATATATTTAAAAAATTAAGCTTTTATTATCAATATTATATTAATGGTCCCTATTCATTGAAAAATTTAAACCAAGAAAGATTCATGATAAGAATATACAACTTGATTGAGTCGCACTATACATTTTTAATTCTGGAACTAGGGAGGCAGAGGCAGGTAGATCTTTTTTATTTCAAGAACATCCTGGTCAACACAGTGAGTTCTAGGCCAGCTAGGACGCATAGTATGACTATGTCTCAAAAATCACACACACACACACACTATTACTTTACCTTAAACTACCCAGAGATAATAACTGTTCACTTTTGATAACTATCTTTGTAAACACAGTCTTAAATGTGTTATTTTACTATATGGGATATTTTCCTTAAACTCTCCCATGACTCTTGGTGGTCTTCCCACATTAGTATACATACAGTAACCTCATTCTTTGTTACAGTTTTGTATTTTAACTTGTAAGAACACAGGGTTATACTCAGTCTTTCATGGACTTTCACATAGTTTCCATTTTATTTGCAGTTATAAACAACGTTGCAATAATGTTCCTTGGACATTAGTGGATTTGAATATTATTGCAATTGGACAGATATTTTGCACATTAGCCCAATTATTTCTTTTTTTAAAACTGTGTTAAAAATATTTCCATACAATATATTTTGATCTTATTCTTTCCCCTCCCGAGACTCCTCTCAGCTTCTTCCTACCTCTTTCCTCACCCAATTTTGTTTTTCTTTCTCTAAAAGCAGTGACAGAAACAAAAGATAGACAAACTACAAAAAGATTAATAAAACAAAAATACCAAACAACAACAAAATAAATGTAAGAGCGCACATATGTGCATGCGTGCATGCGCAGATGCACACACGCACACACACACACAGACACATACATACACACACACAGACACACACACACACAAAATCATAGTGTCCAGTTTGTGCTGGCCAGCTACTTTCAGGCATGGGGCCTGTCCTACCATGTGGTTGATATACCCACATGTCCAATTATTTCTTTAGGATTATTCTTAGAATTGGAAGTCCTGAATCA